CGACCTACGGTACCACCTGTGCCGGCGAGCGCTACAACTTCTGAGCAGCAGACTACGACGACAGGGGCCTGGAGCACTTGCGCTTTGGGACAAGATCACGATCAAGACCGACACGCGGGGGCCACTCCACGCCTACCGAGCACACTTGGCATCGCTTGGAGCAGAGCGCAGCGACGACGGCTTCTGGAGAGGCCCGGCGGGAGAACTCCGACTTACCGACAGAACAGACCGACAGCTCCACGAACTACGACTCATACTCCGATCCCACGAATGGGCAATCCTACAGGGCCGGAGCCGGCGGGAGAGCCCCATGGCGGCCGGAGTGCCCTTCCCAGCTGCTGCCGTGCGCGCGGCACAGGAAGCACGGAAAGCTAACCCAATCCTCGCCTCACACATCGCCGCCGTCCTCTGCGGCTGCGTGGTCTCGGACGCCCTGCTGCAGTCCAACCAAGGCGAGGAGGTCTCGACCACCTGCGACCACTGTGGTGAGCAGCGCGTCCCGACGCTCGACCACATGTACTGGGTGTGCACAGCCAACGCCGACCTCCGGCAAGGTATCGCCGCACCAACGGCTGACCTCACCCGCCGGCTGGGCTGGCCGACAGAGGACCTCACCAAGAGGACCACGACTACTTGGACAAAAATGGTGTTGGCTATGGCAAGCATGAGGCAGCGTGCGCTGAACCACCGACACAAGAAACCACAGGCACCCACTTCATCCGACAATGATTTATAACCGTATTCAATGGTTATTATCTGGATCGCATGTGTCAACACTTGGACTATGTTGTACTTCAGTTCTTCTTTGGGCTGGTGTCTTCTATTCTCCAGGTACACAGTCTACATATAGGTGGGATTACATTACATATTTACGTAATTGCATGTGTTGCGTACCATAAGTGGGGACCGCCACACAACGGTCGCCGCAGCTCTGCGAGCTGCGTGGTGTTCTCATACGCCTACGGATTGGGGACACGGATTGGTTCTTCCCCCATCCGCACTTCAAGAAGACCATTCCCGTACATGCCAAGTTGTCACATACGCCTTAAATGAATATATGGGGTTCCACGGTAGCGTAGTTCAAACTACCTTATGACATAACAAATTACGCTATGCTGTTTCACATGATACGATATTGCAATGTATCAGATGTCCTTTTTCTAATGGTACGTCTATGTATGCATATATATATATATAGAAGAGAGAGAGAGAGAGAGAGAGAGAGAGACAAAAAAAAAGAGAGAGAGAGAGAGAGAGAGACAGAGAGAGAGAGAGAAGATTGATGTCTGGGGGGGCCAGGCGACGCCAGGGGGGGCTCCGAGGAACCTCCGCCCGGTCCGTGACACCTGGTCCGTTGCGCCGGGCCCAGCGCCCTCGAAAACCAACAAAAAATCAGGGCGGGAGGCCGTCTGCCACTCTCGGACTCCCGGGGCCCTCGAGAGGCCCGGGGACTTCAAGACAGTACTCGGGATGGAAAGCTGGTCCCATGGGAAGGGGTCGAGGCCGCCCTGGGCCCACGCTGTGGAGAAATCACGGAGCCGGGAGTCTGGGGGGAGAGAGGGAGAGAGAGAGAGAGAGAAGAGTGCGCGCCCAATGATATACACCACCACCATCCCCATTCCCCCCCCCCTCCTCCACCCGCATCTTCCTCTCCTCCTTCCTGAGGGAGGGGATGAGGGAGGTGGTGGTGGTGGTGGTGGTGGTGGTGGTGGTGGTGGTGGTGGTGGTGGTGGTGGTGCTGGTGGTGGTGGTGCTGGTGGTGGTGGTGGTTGGTGGTGGTGGTGGTGGTGGTGGTGGTGGTGGTGGTGGTGGTGGTGGTGGTGGTGGTGGTGGTGGTGGTATACACGTCGTTAATTTGCAATCGTGCTCATTTCAAATCGTGCTCATTTCTAATTGCTCCTGGCAGCCTAGTGGCCAGGAAGAGGCCGAGGAGAGAAGAAGTAGAAATGAGAGGATCTTGGCCCCCAAAAAATCAAAGACCTTTCGAAGAATCAGAACCGACCAATGTGTACGCCAGGTTCGTGTCGTGCCGACCCCAGCGTTGGTTTTTGACACCGCAGGGATCGTTCAACCTTGAACGATCGGCCGCTGCCGCAACGTCCGATCGTTCAACATCGATCGATTCTGGGTCGCCGGCGGCGTTCAACCTTGAACGTCCGCGCTGGGTTCGCCGCTGGTCGACACGACGCAAACCTACCGTACGCCTGGGCCCCGCAACGAGGGGAAGAGGTACGGCCTGCGGCCCGCCCGAGACGCTTCTCCGAGGTCGGCGGGCCTGCCCACCGGACGGTCCGAGAGCCCGCGCCGCCCTCCCGCAAAGAGGAGGCCCCCAGACTCGGGGGCGCGCAAACGTGGATTAGCGATCCTAAATTGGCTCTGGATTCGCACTATACCTGCAAGGAGGAAAGACTGGTCTACTCTGTAAGAACAGGTTTTTTGAAGGCAGATCTGCCTTCAAAAAAGAACGGTTTTTTGAAGGCAGATCTGCCTTCAAAAAACCGTTCTTACAGAGTAGACCAGTCTTTCCTCTTTGAAGGCAGATCTGCCTTCAAAAAACCGTTCTTACAGAGTGGACTTGGCGGGCGGTCGCCAAACCCATGGATCGGGGGAGGTGCCCTCCCCAAAAATGCGGCCGGTGCCGCCTCGCTCGGGGGCGGAAATCCGCGATTCCCCATGGAAACGGGACGCGTCGCTAAGGCACGCCCCCGTGATCCATGTCTGCGATCGCCTGACAGACCTCTCCCGGGTTGCTCGCGACCTGGCCAACCACAAAATCGGGCGCGTCCTGCCAGTTGCCACGAGGAGCCTCCAGGTGGCCCGACGACGCAACAGAAAGACTCGAGGCTCGATCCTCCTCCTCCTCCTCCTCCTCCTCCTCCTCCTCCTCCTCCTCCTCCTCCTCCTCCCTCCTCCTCCTCCTCCTCCTCCTCCTCCTCCGCACCTCCTCCTCCTCCTCCCCTCCTCCTCCTCCTCCTCCTACCTCCTCCTCCTCCTCCTCCTCCTCCTCATTCCCCTCCCTCCCTCCTCCTCCTCCTCCTCCTCCTCCTCCTCCTCCTCCTCCTCCTCCTCCTCCTCCTCCTCCTCCTCCTCCTCCTCCTCCTCCTCCTCCTCCTCCTCCTCCTCCTCCTCCTCCTCTCCTCCTCCTCCTCCTCCTCCTCCTCCTCCTCCTACCTCCTCCTCCTCCTCGCTCCTCTCCTCTCCTCCTCCCTCCTCCTCCTCCTCCCTCCTCCTCCTCCTCCTCCTCCTCCTCCTCCTCCTCCTCCTCCTCCTCCTCTCCTCCTCCTCCTCCTCCTCCTCCTCCTCCTCCTTTCCTCCTACTCCTCCTCCTCCTCCTCCTCCTCCTCCTCCTCCTCCTCCTGCCTCCTCCTCCCCTCCGCCTCCTCTCCTCCTCCTCCTCTCCTCCCCTCCTCCTCCTCCTCCTCCTCCTCCTCCTCATCCTCCTCCTCCTCTCCTCCTCCCCTCTCCTCCTCTCCTCCTCCGCCCTCCTCCTCCTCATCCTCCTCCTCCTCCTCCTCCTCCTCCTCCTCCTCCTCCTCCTCCTCCCCTCCTCCTCCTTCTCCTCCTCCTCCTCCTCCTCCTCCTCCTCCTCCCTCCCCCTCCTCCCTCCTCCCTCCTCCCTCCTCCCTCCCTCCTCCTCCCTCCTCCCCTCTCCCTCCCCCTCCTCCTCCTCCTCCTCCTCCTCCTCCTCCTCCTCCTCCTCCTCCTCCTCCTCCTCCTCCTCCTCCCCTTTCTCTTCCCCCCACTAGGACGAGCGCAAAGAAGCCGAGAGCGCCGCCCAAGCGGGGACGGGGGGGTGGGCGACACTGGATGAGGAGAAGCAGGAGCAGAGCGAGCAAGCTCGCTTGAGGCGCAGGAGCGAGAGGGGGAAAGAACCCTGAGATCCTGGCGTCTCAATTTTTTCGAACCGGGCGTTTTCGTTCAGCTTCGGGCCCCGGGACCCTCAAACATCGATCTGGCTCAAAAAAAATGGCGCAGAAAGCTGGGGTCTAGGGATGAAAGCGCTGATTTCTCACGGCGTCCGCATCGTCTTGACACTGCGGATCTCAAGCATGGAGAAGGGACAGCACATGGGCAACAGATTCGAACCGTCACGCAATTGAGGGGGAGGTCACCACCTCCCCCGAAATCAAGGCTGAGTTTGGCATGAGCGATGGTTTGCGGTTCCAAAACTCTCGTCCACCCGTGCCCTCTCCAATTAGAAGCCTCAGATGGGGTCGGAGTAGATGGGGTCGGAGCGTCGCGCCGCATCGCCGATGCAGCGCCGATACATCGCCGATGCATCGGCGATGCATCGGCGATGCATCGGCGCCATCGGCGTGGAGAAAATCGGGCTCCATATCGAGCTGCCTCGCCGATGCATCGTCGCTGCGGCGCCATCCTCCGACCCCATCTACTCCGACTCCACCTAGAAGGCCTAGACCAATGCCGCACTTTCCATATTAATGTGGGAGGTCCGAGGGAGGAGGGAGGGGGGAGGAGGAGGGAGGGAGGGAGGAGGAGGAGGAGGAGGAGGAGGAGGAGGAGGAGGAGGAGAAGGAGGAGGAGGAGGAGGAGGAGGAGGAACAGGACGAGGAGGAGGAGGAAGAGAAGGAGGACGAGGAGGAGGAGGAGGATAAGGATGACGAGGGGCGATCTCCGCCTCCAGGCGCCAGGCCTGCGCGGGTGCTCCCCGGGCGGGGAGCCCGCGGGGGCTCCGCGGCGGCGGCGCCGAGGACGACCGCAGCCACGACGACCACGACCACGAGGACGGCGGCGACGATGGCGACGGCCACGACCACGAGACAGCCACGGCGACCACCACGGCCACGGTGGCCGGCGACGGCGACGGCAGCAACGACGGCGACGATGGCGACGGCCACGACCACGAGACAGCCACGGCGACCACCACGGCCACGGTGACTGGCGACGGCGACGGCGGCAACGACGTCGGCGGTGGCGACGGCGACGGCGACAAGGAGGCGGAGCGGAGGGGGCGGCGACGGCAAAATGGCCGGCCGATCCTGTCGCTCACAGCCCAGTCGGCGGGGAGCTGCCGCTTGCTGGGGGCCTTCCGCGCGAGCTTCTGCGCCTTCCGCGCCCCGATCGCAAACGTGGCCCGTAAAGCTCGAGAAAAAAAGGATCAACGACGACAACGACGACGGTAACGACGACAAGGGCGACGACGACCACGACGGAGACGACAACGACGATGACAACAAAGACGATCATGATAATGAGAATGCGAGTAGTAATACAACATAAAAATACGAATAACACAAACAGTGGTGCTCCTACGAATAAGGATCACATGGGTGATATGAACATTGATAATATTTCTGATGATAAGAAGAACAATGCGAATGAAAATAATAACACGACGGATAGCAATCACGCCCCCCCCCCCCCCCAAAAAAAAAACGAATGTTCGTTATGGTGGTGGTGATGCTGATGATGATGACTATGACGATGATGGTGATGAAGATTGTGAAAATGATAATGACGGACGGTAGTGATATGATTTCGATGAAAGCCGTGATGATAATGATGGTAGTGATGATGAATAAGATGAGGACGATAATGATGATGATGATGGTGATGAGTATGATGCGGATGATGGTGATGATGATAATGATGATGATGGTGATGACAGTGATGATGATGATGGTGGTGATGATGATGGTACTAATGTGGATGGAGATGGTGGCGGTGATGATGATGACGATGCTGATGATGAGTATGATGATCAAGGTGATGCCGATCATACTGAAGATCATGATGATAATGATAGAGGTGATGATGCTGAGGATAAATATGATGGTGAGAATGGTGATGGTGGTGATGACGATGGCAACGGCGATGCTTATAATGATGGTGATGATGCTGATTCTCATGGTGGTGATATACATGTTGCTGATGGTGATGGGGATGGTTGTGGGGACAATGAGGGTGGTGATGACGATGATGATGATGATGGTGTTCATGATGGTTGTATGATGATGGTGATGACGACGATGCTCATGATGGTTTTGATGATCAGGATGGTTATCACTCTGATGATGGTGGTGTTGTCGGTGATGCTGATACTGCTGCTGACGGTGGTGATGATGAGGATGCTAGTGGTGATGGTGATGCTTCTGATGATGATGCTGCTGATGTTGGTGCGTATTGTAAAAGCGATGCTGATGATGGCGATGGGATGACGATGGTGGTGATGATGATGCTGGTGATAGTAGTGATGGTGATGATAATGATGCTGATGGTGACGCTGGTGACGATGATCATGGTGATGATGGTGGTGGTGACGCCAAAATGTGATGATGAGAGGGGTGGTGGCAGTGCTGATGATGCTGCTGATGATGCTGCTGATGATGCTGGTGGTGATGATGGTGGTGATGATGATGCTGATAACGATGCGGATGATGATGCGGAGGCTGGTGCTGATGGCGACGATGATGGTAGCGATGATGATATGATTGGTGATGATGCTGATTGTGGTGATGACGATGATGATGCCGATGGTGCTGATGAACGTGTTGGTGGTGGTATTGTTAATGGTGACGATGATGTTGATGGTGATAATGGTGATGTCGGTGGTAATGATGTTGTCGATGATGGTGACGATGGCGATGAAGATGATGACGATGATGATGACGATGATGATGATAATGATGGTGATGATGATGATGCTTGTGGTGATGATGCTGATGATGATTATGACGATGATTATGGTGAAGGTGGTGATGATAATGCGGATAATGCTGCTGGTGATAATGGCGATGCTGGAAATGATAACGATGGTGGTGATGACGATGGTGATGACGGTGGCGAAGTGATGAACGACGAACGGACGAAGCTGCCGTCGCTGGGAAGGGCCGACGTCCCTGCGAGGGAGGGAATCTCGCATGTAGCGCGCTGGCCCTCTAAGTGGACGGGGGAAAGGGTGCAACATACGCATGAAGATGCATTGCGCTTGCTGAGAAGGAGGCGACAAAGAAGGCAAGAAGGAGACAGACGGATCACAAATGTGGAAAATATGTTGCGAATCATCGCCACCATGAGAATTTCAAGAACTCGCTCTCGCATTCAGATCATGTTTTCCCTTTGGGCTGCAACGATCCCCAATGCGTCTCACGAACAAAGGGAATCAAGTCCTGTGAAAAAGAGCATGGGCTCCTCCGATTAGCCCGAACACGCCCGCACCAGAAATGGAAGAATGTACATAAAAGCGGAAAAAACAAACTGACACGGAAGGGAACGGAAAAATGGAAAGGCGGAAAAGAGGAAAAACTACTAGATGAATGGAAACGTAGAATACGGGAAAAACTTAAAGACACGCAAGGACATGGAAAAGTGGACAAGTGAAAAAGTGACAAAGCGGAGAGGCACGTAGGGGCATCAGAAAAATGGAAAAAACTGAAGCGTGGGAAAGCAGAAGAGCGGTTCAGGTAACGAACAAGTAGAACAATGGAAAACTGGAAAAGCAGAAACATGAAGAGCCACCTTATGGGTCTCTGGGGTCCTCGTGGGCTCTAGGGCCGCCCTGGGGGCGTCGCAGAAGCCTCTGGTGCGTCGATCGTCGATCCTCGATTCTCGATCGACGGTCGAGGTTCGAAACAAGTAGAGGATCAAGGCCCGCCTTTTGGATCAACGCTCGAGGATCGAGGTTTGATGGAGGATCGATCGAAAATGGAGGCTCGATCGAAGATCGAGCATCTCGGATCGAGGATGGATGACCGAAATTAGATTGAGGACCGACGATCCAGAGTCGAGGATACTGGATCGAGGATTGCTGGGCCCTCGAGCGAGGAAGTTCCATCGAAGATCGAGGATACTTGACTGATCGGTCGACGCTCCAGGTTCGATCGAGGATCGACCGACTATCGCATATCGATGATCGGGGACTGGTGTTCGCTAGCTTCGATCGAGGATCGCAATTCGAACGAGGATCAAGAATCGACATTGGATCGAAGAGCGAGGATCCAGGCTCGGTGGAAGGTCGAGGATCGAGGTTCGATCGGGAAGAGAGGATACCGAGGATCGATCGAGCATCGAAGATCAATGCAAGGCCGATGTTCGGAGAGAGGGAGGCGGAGGAGGGAGGAAGGAGGACGATGAGGTAGGAGGAGGACCAGGAGGTAGGAGGGACGAGGAGGAGGAGGAGGAGGAGGAAGCGGAGGAGGAGAAGAAAGCTGAAGGAGGAGACAGCTGGAGAAAGCTGGAACATGGAGGAGGAGCAGAAAGCGGAGGAGAAACCTTATGAGAACTAGAGAAAAACCGAAGGAGGAGGAAGAGGGGGAGAAAGCTGGAGAAAGCTGGGGAAGGCTGGAGAAAACTGGAGAAAGCTGGAGAAAACTGGAGATGGAGACAGCCGAAGAAAGCTGGAGAAAGGTGGATGGTGAGGATGAGGACAACGAGAAAGATAGAGAAAACCTGAGAAGGCTGGAGAAAGCTGGACAGGGCTGGAGGAGGAGGAGGAGTAGGAGTCGGAGGAGGAGACAGCCGGAGAAAGCTGGAGAGGGAAGAGGAAGAAGGAAAAAAATCAGAAACTATAGGACGACGAGGAGAAAGTTGGAGAAAGTTCGAGGAGGAGGAGGAATTGGAGAAAGCTGAGAAAGCTGGAGCGGCGGCGGCGGCGGCGACGGCGGCGGCGCGGCGTCGGCGCGAGGGGTGCCAGCAACAGCCTCTGCGACCCCGCCCTGCCGAGCCCTGCCGAGCCCGCCGTCGTCGCTGTCGTCGTCGTCGTCGTCGTCGTCGTCGTCGTCGTCGTCGTCGTCGTCGTCGTCGTCGTCGTCGTCGTCGTCGTCCTCGCTGTCGTCGTCGTCGTCGGCGTCGTCGTCGTCGTTGTCGTCGTCGTCTTGCTCGTCGTCGTCCTGGTCGTCGTCGTCGTCGCGGTCGCCGTCGCGGTCGCCGTTGTCGTCTGGGGTAGGAGGAGGAGGAGGAGGAGGAGGAGGAGGAGGAGGAGGAGCGCACGTAGCTTGAATCCACGGTGACTCAGCTACCGCCAGGGCCCTAGCATCGCATCGCGACGAAGGTTGCGGCTCGTATTTCGTAATGGTAGGTGGGCGTGGCCGCTCTTGGCCTGCCCGCAAGGTCAGTTTTCAGCTTGTGGTAAATATGGAAGCTCAGCACTACGATATGGTGGCAGCGCTGGCGGGGATACTCGACTTCATTGTCGGGTACTGGGCCAAGCCCCAGACGTGTGAGAGGACAGGTGGGAAGGAAACCACGAGGGAAAGCGAGAAGGTGGAGGAGACGAGGACAAACAAGGTAGTGTTGGAAGGAGTCTCGGGCTTGGCATCCAAACAAACACTGACACTCCGTAGCGCTCGGAATTCGTGCGGACGTTGTCCATCCGCCGGACAATGTCTTCATGTGTGCCCAAGCCCACCAAGGAGGAGACCGAGCTAGGATGGATCGGAGCGCCTCCCACCTCCGCCCGAGCTCCGCTACGGGGATCTGGGGGCCATGGGGGAGCCACGCATGAATCCCTCGGGCAAGGAGGAGGGGAAAATGTCGGGGAAGAGCGAGGAAGTGAGAGAGCGAGTTAAGATCCGCTGGGGGCGAGGACGTCTCGCCTCCAGCCGGGCGCTGTGGATCTCGATCCGTGCAGCACGGGTCGCCGTGTCCCACGCCTGACGGGCGATGCCTGGCGGGGCCCAGGACTCCGAGAGCAAATGTTCAAAGTATTCGCCTATGGATGACGGGTTTTCCCAGCATGCTGGGCTCAAGAGCCCACGCGAGAAGCGAGTAAAACATCCGTGCATGTCCGCCTGCTGCCTGAGAATCGCGAGAGCCCCCCGCCAAACTCGCCCACCCGCCGTCCCCAACGTGTGGAACGCGGTTCTCCAGGCAGCGGCAGCGCCCAGGGGCCGAATCGGGCGAGGCGTGGAACTCGGGAGCCAGGATCCGATCCCCAGGAGCTCCGAGAGGCCGAGTGAGTTGGGCGGGAGGCGGAGGAGGCGGAGGAGGCGGTGGAGGACGTGGCGCTCAGAGCGAAGGAGAGGAGGCGGAGGAGGGAATAGTTGGCAGACGTAGCTGAGCACCGAAACTATGCCGAAATTGTACAAACGGCAGCATGATTCCGCCGGGGCACTAGAGAGAGCCAGTTCCTTGGCTCCGCTTCGCTATTTACTTTCAGGGGAAACCCACTGTTCGGCAATCGTGGCCTGCGGTCCGAACTTCATTCCGAGAAAATCGGTCGCACCCGTAACGGTAAAGTCTGCCCATGCAGGGATAAGCGAGGCGATGCGAGATTTGAACTTTTGCACCGCAGCCTCATCGAGGAGGAGGAGGAGGAGGAGGAGGAGGAGGAGGAGGGGACGCGAGACAACGCAACGCAGTGGAACCAAAGAGGTGCAACCAAAGGTGGGGAAGCACCAGCCCGACCTGAGGCGCAGGGCCCAACCTTGCTCGCGGGTGAGCCCGCGCCCGCAATGCGCATGGGCCCCCCATCTCGTCGACCTCGCACTCACAGCGCTGCTCCGTGACGACGCCCCACCGGCGCCCGCGCTCGTGCATCCAGCGCCAACAGAGCGGGCCCAAGGACCACACCAACCCAACCCGAAGACCCGAATTTCGGGTCGGGGGGGTATGGGCTCCTTACGTGTTTTTTCTACGTTCAGGGATAACACCCCGGTCCGTCGAAGGTCTGCGCGGGCGGGCGGTCCCTCCTCTTCGCCGCCTTCGTCCTCAGAGGAGACGTCGCTCAGGCTGGCGCGGGGCGCGTCCTGCGAGAAGGCTCGCAGGGCTGATCTGTCCGGGCATCTTGCGGCATTGGGATACCGCTTGCGCGGCTGGAAATACAATGGGGAGGGGCTCGTTCTGTCCTCAGTGACTGGAGCTGCCAAATGCTGCTTCCATTCGCCGTCATTCTCAATGATGGCGGCACCGTGCCCCTCGTAGATGCCAACCACATGCTCCACGTACTTCCTGCCCCAAAAGAAGCAGAAACTATACGAGCCACACGCAGAACTGGACGTCTTCCGGGTGCGTCTGCGCCGGTAGGGAAGCACGCGCCGCAGCGGTTATACAACGGCCTTTCTCGATATACGGAGTACTCTGCACCAAGGCTTTGGCAACATACAGATGGTCGTGAAGATCCTGAATCGTCACCGTGGTACCGGGAAACGCTGCCACGTGCACGTCTGTATCGAGGATGCCAGCAGCGGGCGCTCCTCAGCTAACGACAGATTTCCGGACACGATACCTCGCCGCAGCTGCGGCGAAGTTCCTCAGGGCGTCTTCAGGGTGCCTGGCAACGAAAATTCCGAAGACACGCCTCTGGCGCTTGTCCGCAGTTCCTCATCGCGGCGCTGGCGGCATTCTCCGTTCTGGTCTCTCGTAGGCGTTTCAGCCGCCCGGCGCTTGCCGGCGCCAGCAGCCAAATGAGACCTCTGCTGCCCAGCCGACTGCGTACCCCATGGAGCCACAGCGGTACTGTATAGCGCCAGCCGCCCCGCGCCACTCTACTAGCAGCGCCTACCGAACCTCAACCCACAGCCACCCGCCAGCGTCGGCCAACATAACCTTAAAGCGGCCCTCGCGCGCCGTGGCGCACGGTGGCGCTCATACACTACATGAGAGCCACTGGGGCTGTCAAATAACGCCTTGACCCATTGGGTGACTGTTGCCCTCCCTCCGCCGAGCTTGCAGCCGGCTTCCGCTTTGCCGGCGTGGCTCGGCACCGGCCGCTACGGCTCAGGGACCGCTGTCGGTTGCCCAGGTAATCGGGCACTGGAGCCAAGGGAGGAGGAAGAGAAGAGAAGGGAGAGGGGTAATTAGAAGGAGGGGATAGATAGGAAGTGGGGTGAAACAGAAAATTGAGCGAGGGGCACGGATGACCGATCTCCATCTCAGAGGGCTGCATGAAATCCACGCGCTCCTCCTGTTCTCCGTGATCCCCTGCCAGCTGACCGCAGTGGCGAGCGAGCGCGCTGGCTGGTGGGCACTTTTCGGAGGTTCCCGACCTCCCAAAAACCAGCGAAAATGGGACATCGCCCCCACCCCCCCTCCCCACCCACCCCTCGGTGTACCGGGGGGCCCCTGCACCAAAGGGGGGGAGGTCGATGTCCGATTTCCGGAAGTTTTTGCGGCTCGCCCGGGGCTCTCTCGGACCCCTTTGCGGACCCTGTCCGACAGCCCAAGGCAGCCAAAAACATTGCCGAGAGGGTTCCAATGCGGCCAACAAAGTTCCAAGAGGGGCCCAAAACGGCTCCAAGACGGCCCAAGAGGGCCCAAGAGGGCCCGAATACGGCCCCAAGACGGCCAAGGACGGGCCCAAGACGGCCCAAGCGGGCCCCGAGATGGCTCCAGAGGCCCTCAAGAAATCCCCCGAGGGGTCCAAGAGGGGCCAAAGAAGGCTCAAGGGGAGGGCTTACGGGGGCCGTTTTCAACCGCGCTGGGGTTCAAGAGGACCGACGGAAAAACGTCGGGAACCCAACGGCATCACGATGTCAGAAATCCTCCGAATCCCCCTACTCCGCCTCCACCTTCGCCTCCTCCTCCTCCTCCTCCTCCTCCTCCTCCTCCTCCTCCTACTCCCCCTCCTCCTCCTCCTCCTCCAACGCCTCCTCCTCCCCCCCCCTATTTCTTACAGTCGGTCGAGCGGGAGGTCTCCATCCCCTCATCCTCTCCTTCCCCTCCCCTCGGCGTGCGTTCAGATGTCGAGCGGTCCACCTGAAATGAGGAAGCGAGCCGGGCCGTGAATCACTACGTACCCTCGTGAATACTGTAGCGATGCCGAGCCGGGCCGCCCGTCGGGCAAGCAGCCAGCGAGCGAGCAGAGGGGCGGGGAAAGGCAGAGAAAGAGAGAGAGAGAGAGAACAAACAAAGAAAGAGGAAAGCAACAAGAAGTCTGAAACTAAACCATGCCATAATGAGGGGCGTAACAACGTCAAAAGCAAACGCCAGCGGGTGCCGCCAAAGAACGAGCAACAGTTCGAAAAAAACCCAAGCCAAGACCCGTGTCCCGGGAATCCTGTGCGTAAGAAACATTACGCGGAGGGGGTCCGGACATCTTCCGGACGTCCTCAGGGGAGAGAGGAGAGTAGTATTCATGTTGTGTAATTGTTGTTGTTGTTGAGGAGGAGGAGGAGGAGGAGGAGGAGGAGGAGGAGGAGGAGGAGCGCCAGTACCTCATGCGTGCATCGGTACCACGGCACTCAACGCCTTGGGGGTTCGGCCAGGGATAAGGCCTAGCCGTTCCAGGCGGAGGCGGAAGAAGCGAGTAATTGTCAGGCATTTTCGTGAGCGCCGCTTTGAGGGCCACGAGAGGTTGAGACAGATCGAGGGGCCGTCCTTGGCTATGTGGTAGATGGTAAGGCACAGGGAAGTAGCAAGCACAGCATTCTCTCGAGTTGAAACGAGCGCTGGATAATGAACTGGAAGCCCAAGTCCGAGACGTATAAGTGGACTTGAGGGCACCACCGCACGAGGACGACAGATCAGATGGACAAGATGATGGCATCGAAGGAAATGCTCAATACCATCCGGATAGCGGTGGCAACCGAACACACAACACCATCGCTCCGAGGTCACGTGCATGCGGTCCGTTGTCGTCCACCCCCCCAGCGACCGTTTTCAAGTAAGGCCAACGGATCGAAGCGGGAGCCCGGAGCAGGATTTCTCGAGCCAGGAGGAGGAGGAGAAGGAGGAGGAGGGGAGGAGGAGGAAGGAGGGAGGAAGCGGGGGAGGAGAAGAGAGGAGGAGGACGAGGAGGGAGGGAGGAGGAGGAAGAGGAGGAGGAAGAGTGAGAGGAGGAGGGAGGAGAAAAGGAGAAGGAGAAGGAGAAGGAGGAGGAGGAGGACGAGGAGGAGGAGGAGGAGGAGAAGGAGGAGGAGGAGGAGGGAGGAGGATCCGACTCCCGCAGGCGCCTGTCGGGCCTCCTGCGCGGCGGCCGCCGCCCGCTTCCCGAACGCCTGCCGCGCGGGGCGCCGCCCGCTTCCCAGGCGGCGGGCTCGGAGCCCCGAGCCCGCCGCCGGCCGTCCACCGCCCGCCGCCGTCGGTCGCCGAGCACGGCCGTCGCCGTCGGCGACGCAGGGCCCGTCGCCGACGCCGCCGCCGCCGTCGTCATTGTCGTCGCCATCGTCATCGTCATCATCGGCAACATCAGCACCATCATCAGCATCAGAATCATCATCATCATCATCATCATGATCATCATCATCATCATCATCATCATCATCATCATCATCATCATCATCAGCATCAGCATCATCATCAGCATCAGCATCAGCATCAGCATTAGCATCATCAGCATCATCATCATCATCATCAGCAGCATCAGCATCAGCATCAGCACCAGCATCAGCATCAGCATGAACATCATCACATTCGTCTGTATCAACATCACTATCAGCATCATCAGCATCATCAGCATCGTCATCAACATCACCATCCTCATAATCGCCATCATCATCGTCATCACCATCACCATCACCATCACATCACCACCATAATCACCGTAACCATCAGTGCCATCATCATCAACAGCATCAGTATCATCATCAGCAACATCATCATGATAACGATCATCATCCTCAACATCAACATCATCATGAGCATCATAATCAGCATCATCACATCCGTCAGCATCAACATCACAATCAGAATCATCATCAAGAGCAGCATTATCATCAACATACTCATCATCGCCAGCATCAGCATCAGCATCATCTCGCGTGGTTCCTCTCGGACTACTGGCGCACCGGGACCCACTGGTCACTGGCTGGCGCAGGGGAACGGAGAAAACTGGCTATCCCCCGCTTCATCCTCCTCCTCCTCCTCACCACCATCATCATCATCATCATCATCATCATCATCATCATCAACAGCATCCCCCGAATCCTCCGCATCAGCATGATCATGATCACGATCATGATCATCAGGATCATCATGATCATCATGACCACCATGACCACCATGACCATCAGTAGCACCCACGTCATCGCCACAATCACCATCATAAAGCAGCCCAACCATGTGCAGCAGCACCATCATCAACATCAGCATCGCCGTCGTCGTCCACATCATCAGCAGCATCATCAATGTCAGCATCAGCATGAGCATCATCATCAGCACCATCACCATCACCAGCATGATCACCATCACTGCCACCACCATCATCATCGTCAGCATCATCATTATCCTTATCGGCATCCTCGTCATCCTCATCATGATCATCATCATCATCCTCATCATCAGCATGGTTTCTCTTGTCGCATCCTTTCTCATCGTCCCCTTCGGTCGCCTCGCAGTCGTGCTCTCGACCTCTCCTGAAACGCGGTCTGGCACGTAGTTCGACGCAGGCCCAGCCGTGGCGGCGGGGGCCGCCCAGGAGGCCCAGAAAGGGCGAGGAACGCCGACCTCCCCGAATCACGTGTCCTCATGCTTGCCCCCCCCCCCTACTGCATGAGAAAGTCCTGTGTGTGTGACAAGTAGGCGTCCACCGGCAGCCAGCCTGACCTGAGCTGGACCACGACTGCTGTGGTGCGCCTGCTTCCCGGCGTGCGTTCCCCGTGCCTCCTCCTGCGCATCCTGATGCTCCGCCGCTCCCCCCTCCTCCTCCTCGTCCTTCCCCTCCTCCTCCCCCTCGCCATTGCCCTCGTCCTCCTCCTCCTCGTCCTTCCCCTCGTCCTCCTCCTCATCCTCGTCCTCCTCCCCTCGTCCTCCTCCTCATCCTCCTCCTCGTCCATCCCCTCTTCCTCCTCCTCCTCATCGTTGTGCCATGGCCATGATCATGGCCAGCGCTAGTACACTGAGCATACCCATCATCACCACCAGCAGCAGCATCACCGGCATCATCCTCATCAGCAACACCATCATAAAGCATCCTCATCAGCATCGTCATTGCCCTCATCATCATATGCGCAGTCGTATGTAGCATCATCACCATCATCATCATCATCATCATCAGCATCATCATCATCATCATCATCATCATCATCAGCATCATCATCAGCATCATCATCATCATCACCGTCATCATCGTCATCATCATCCCCATCATCAACATTATCTTCATCATCACCAGCATCATCATCGTCAGCATCATCGTCATTAGCATCATCACCATCACCGTCGTCATCGCCATCGTCATCAACGTCATCATCGTCGTCAGAATCAACATCAGCATCCTCATCATCACCGCCGTCATCATCAACATCATCAGCAGCAGCAGTATCATCATCGTTGTCGTCAACGTCACCAGCAGCAGCAATACCATCATCATTGAAATTATGGCGGTTGCCCTCGCCAACATTATCACCACCATCACAATCGTCAACATCGTAATCGTCATCGTCATCATCACCACATATGCATCAGGCACATCAACATCAGCATCCGGGTCAGCCAATCCTCATCAGCATTATCGTCATCAGCATCAGCATCATCATCATCATCATCATCATCATCATCATAATCATCATCATCATCATCATCATCATCATCATCATCATCATCATCATCATCATCATCATCATAATCATCATCATCATCATCATCATCATCATCATCATCATCATCAACCTGGTCATCGCACTCGTCCACTAATTCGTCGCCACCATCCTCCTCCTCCGCATCATCATCATCAGCAGCCTCATCACCAGCGCCAACACCAGCATCGTCAACAGCAACAGCCGCATCGTCGGCATCACCACGTCCGCTACCATGGCACACGACCAAAAAGCTCGGGAAGACCGCGTGTGCGTGTTGGAGCAGTGCCCCATCCCCCCCCCCCCCCCCCAATTCGGAACCATCTACGGATGCACCCTGGCGCGGCGCAGCATGAGTTCCAGCTCCCCCCCCCCCCCACCCCCACCCACCCACCACTGGCTCCCCTCAACCCACGCTACGCTGCGGGCCACACGCGGTCTGCCCGCGTAGCCCCGCGGCGCCCGCGCCGCCGCGCGCGGGCACCGGGCATGCATGCTCGGACGCGTGCCGTGCACGCAACGAAGAGCACGTCGAGCGAGCCGATCACGCGAGGCGAGCGAACGGACGCACAGCATGCACGAGGCCGACTGGCCAAGGAGCAAGACCAGTGGCTCCCCTCAACCTCCTCATCCGCCCCCTCCTAATCCTCAACCCCCTCGTGCTCGATCGCCCCTCCTCCCATTCCTCACCCTCCTCACCCTCCTCGTCCTCACCCTCCTCCTCTCCGTGTTCCTCCAGCCTCCTCCGTCCTCCTCGCTCCCCCTCCTCGCTCATCCTCATTATCCGCCTCCTCCCCCATCGTCCAGCTCTTCATCAGCATCATCGCCATTAGCGTCAACCGCGGCGAACTGATTCATCATCACCACCATCCTGATTGTCATCCTCATCCTCATCCTCATCCTCTTCATCCTAATCCTTATCCTGATCCTCCTGATCCTGATCGTCCTCCTCATTAGCAACATCGCCATCAGGGACAGCATCCTCATCCTCATCCCCATCCTCATCCGCATTCTCATCCTCCTCCTCATCAGCATGGTCACCTCGTCATCGTCATCAGCATCATCACCATCTTCGTCATCACAGTGATCAGCATCATCATCAACATCATCATCATCCTCCTCCTCCTCCTCCTCCTCCTCATCATCATCATCATCATCATCATCATCATCAGCAGCAGCAGCAGCAGCAGCATCATCATCATCATCATCATCATCATCATCATCATCATCATCATCATCATCATCGTCATCATCATCAGCCTCCTCCTCCTCCTCCACTCCGTACTCCTCCTGAATCCCTGAAAGCCCCATGGTCTGAAGATCCCACGGACGTGATCGTCCTCTCCTCCTTCTCCTCCTCCTGCTCCTTCTCCACCTCCTCCCCCTCCCCCTCATCAGCATCATCATCATCATCATCATCATCATCATCATCATCATCATCATCAGCATCATCATCATCATCAGCATCATCGTCATCGTCAACGTCATCAGCATCGTCATCATCATCATCAGCAGCATTAGCATCAGCATGTGCCTTCTCCTCTTCATCCTCGTCCCTCCGCCTCGTCCTCCTCCTCCCTCATCCTCCTTCTCGATCCGCGTCATCTTTCAGGCATTCGCCGCCTCACGCAGCACGTCGGCGGCCCCGGCGCGCAGCACGACGCCAACGATGACGCGGCCGCCTCTCGGGGGGTGGCTCCCTGGGGAGGGCACTGTCTGAATCGCTGCTCGGCAAGCAGGTCATCGTTTTCTTTTTCGGCGTTTCGACATTAGGCGGAAGAGGGGGGGAGGCGGGGGGGGGCCTGGCCCCAGACCTCTGCTTAGTGCGGCTGTTTGGAACGGTGCGTCCTCTGGGGCAGACTCCACCTGCTTGAAACAGGCGCCAAAGACAGACAAGATCTGCTCCATGGAGGGGGAGGGAGGGGGGGTCCGAGGGCCCGCACCGATGGCCAAAACAACACAAAAAAACAAAAAACAAAAAACGAGCACCAGAGGAGAGGGAGGAGGGCTCTGATGCGGAGCATCCTGGAGGCCTCGCGTGGCGGCTTGATACCCAGTGCACTTCGGATCCGCGTCAGATCTGCGACGGATCCACGTCGAACTCACGCGGGACTGACGTCGGAACGTCGCCGCGCGAACGTCGCCCCAGATCTGACAGGGCGGACTCGGGGGCGGCCAAGAGCGGGGCGTCCAAGAGGGGGGGTGCAAATCATGGCCAGCGGCACGTGCGCGGCCCAGAGGGGAGGCCAGGGACGTAAAGAAATCAGAAGAGGCGCCATGAAATCTGGGGAAATATCATGGCCCACGCCATGGTATCCACCCCCCCCTAATCATCCCCCCCCCTCTTTGCCGCCCCCGACGGACGCGTGGACTAGACTTTGGACGCCCGAAATGGATACGGAAAAAACAGGCACCATGCCCAACAACAAATGATGTCCCAAACCAACAGCGGCCGCTGTTGGGCAGGCGGCCTCCTGTCTCGAAGGGACTCAGGCCGCGGCGACGCGGATAGCGAGCCCTGTTCCAAATGAACAGGAACTGCTGTTGGGCATTGTACCCATTCTTTCCGCTCGCGACGGCAGGTCCGCCGGAGGGATGGGATAGGCTGAGAGACGGAGGGAGGGAGGGAAGGAGGAAGGGAGGGAGAAGGGGAGGGAGAAGGAGGAGGAGGAGGAGAAGGAGGAGGAGGAGGAGGGAGGAGGAGGGAAGAGGAAGACGGGACGAGGAAGGCGAGGAACTGCTGTTGGGCATTGTACCCATTCTTTCCGCACCCGTGTCGATCGTCCCGATAGATACTTTCCAACGCGTGCGCGCCGGTGGAGGCCCCCAGGACTCTTTCCTCGGGACGCCCTGCGTGCTTATCCAGAGGGAGCGCCGGCTGGACTGGACTGGAAGCGGTGTCTTCGGCTATACGCGAGAGTGACCCAGGGTAAGAGTGACCTTTGGTGCGGGACGTTTTGGGGGCCGCGGGGGGACCAAACCTGGGCGCGCAAGCAACTGCTGCTGCTTCGTTTCCAGCCATCTGGGGACCCATCTGGTCACTCCGGCGGAAGGTCACTCCTACGTCTAGTCGATGTCTGTGAGGGTGGCCCTCCTAGCGCCGGTATCGCAGTCACTGAGGAAAAAAAGGAGCGACAAGGGAAAATCGCTGCAGCGCGTCACAGAACTCACCGGCATCCATTACCAGCCAGGAACATATCCCTATCCCTATGCTGGGCATCTCCTCATCACGATGCCAATCTTAGGGATTCCCTTACTTTTTGAGGGCGAATCCCTAAGATTGTCATCGCCTTTTGGCGTGTCAATCTTAGGGATAGGGATACGTTCGAGGCTGGTAAATCAATGCTGCCTCCGTGCACCTCACACGGGAGCCGGAGAATGGCGAGTCTGGCCACGGCGAGGCTCGGTCACGAAGCGGCTGCCCCCGGAGGCCAGGGCCCCCTCCGGAGCCGCGAGTGGCTCGCTCGTGCCGTGCACCTTGGCCGCACCGCGCGAAGGCAAAGGGCAGATGCGGGCGGCGGGCATCAAATCATCCGGGGGTCTCTGAGAGCCCGCGGGTCTGGGACGTGTGTCGGGCGTCGTGGCTCTTTTCCTGGAGCGCCCCATCACGCCCCGAGAGAGTGCGAGAACGCTCTGGAGCAAGGGGTCCTCGTGGGCCTGCCGAGAGGGAAGGAGGAAGAATCCCACGCAAGAGCCATGACCAGAGAAGGAGGCAGGCCGAGGAGGGGGAGGAGGAGGCTGACGACGAAGGGGAGGAGAGAAGCTACCAAGGAAGGACACGGAGAAATCAGAAGAAGGCGGAAAAACAAATGACAAATGAGGCAGGGGAGGGGGAGGAGGAATATGGGAAATAGGAAATCACGAGGGAAGGACAAGGAGGAATGAGGAGGGTGGGGAGAGGAAGGAGACAACGAGAAATGGGGAGCAACAGGAGAAAAGTATGTTTAGAGCTCTGGCCGTTCGTGATCGGTTTGCGGAGCCGTGCTTGTATTCGCGGGATCGGATGTCGGCGAATGCTGGAGGGTGGGGGCGGGGAGATGAGGGGGACTCCCCCCGTCCCCATTACTCTCCTCCCACCCCTCCTGATTGCGTTCCTTCTCCTCCTCCTCCCCCTCCTGCCCCGTCCCATTCTCATGATCCTGTTCCTCGCACCCCCCCCTCCTTCACCTCATCCACAACGTCAGCATCGCCACCATCGTCATCACCTGCAGCAGCAGAAGCAGCCAGCAGTTGCGTCAGGCCTGTTCTTCCTCCTCCGCCTCAACCGCCCACCTCCTCGACCAGCGCGGCGCTGGTTGACTCCATCCTCCCTCCCTCCCTCCCTCCATCCATCCTCCATCCTCCTCCTCCTCCTCCTCCTCCTCCTCCTCCTCCTCCTCCTCCTCCTCATCATCATCATCATCATCATCATCATCATCATCATCATCATCATCATCATCATCATCATCACCATCATCCTCATCCTCTGATACCTCAAACACCTACCCAGCAGACGTCAGCTGAACAAGCGGTCCCTACCTGCATTCCGCAGGACCTACCTCGAGGCCAAAGCCCTCGCTTTCGCCTGGGAGGTCTCGAAGAAAATGTCAAATTAGGCGCTCCCCGCCTCGGACCTAAGGCCCGCCCAAGAGGCCTCCAAAGGCCGAGGACGAACCACAGGAAAGGGAGCCCAACAAAAACATTGCACCAGGGCTGGCGCCCCGCGACCAGGCGACCCAGGGCGGCCCTGGAAAGGCGAGCCGAAGTCCGAGGACGAGCCGACCACGGACGACACGCCTGGCCGACATTGTGAATCTGCGCACGGCCACAGGCCCCGCAAATCTTACAAAACACGACCGCCTCATCCCTCCCAGCCCAGACCCGCGCCCGCCCTCACCCCGAATCACACACAGCTAGTGGGAGGGATGAGCGATCTGCAGAGGCCCAGTACTCCAAGGCGGGGAGTGCATACTATACGAGATCGGAGCCCCCCTGCGGACCCCACAGACTGTGCACCCCCATGCCCTCCGCAGGCTCTTCAAGGCATGCCCATTAGATCCCGGGACGAGGGACAGACCCTGGGACCAAGGGGCAGGGGGCGAGTGAGCTCCGATCAGCCCAGCCCACAGGCGCGACCTTTTGAAGGACCGCGCCATGGTGCAGGAAAAAAACTCACTGCCACCCCCCGGGGCCTCCGAGGCGGCCCCCACGGCGCAGGCGAGCTTCTCGACCTCCGCCCACGGGCGCAGCTTGGCGCTCTCATTGGCGCGCCGCCGCCTCCACGTTGCCTCGAAGTGGCGGTGCGGTACTCCTGCGCGCTCAGCGGCAGCGGCACTGATGTGGGTTTGGACCTAGCTGAAATGGAGTTGCGGCCCCATGTCTTCGACGTGGAACCATGCCTCCTCCCACGGCGCAACGTACTTGGACTCGCGTGAGAGATGCCACCCCTTGCCCCTCTCGAGATCCTCGATTGCGGCAGCCCCCGACGACGTGGACTTCGCCGCAGTCCTTTTCGCGCAGGCGCGTGACCAGCGCGGAGAGCTCCGCGTCGCCAAACTCCCGGGCGGGCCCTGGCACGTCCCCGAAGGCACCTCCCAGGATGACGCCGTCGTCCGCGATCATGACAGCAGCCCAGCCCGTGCGACGCAGGTCTGGCCACCGCGCGAAGAACGCCGAGCCGTCGACGCAGACCGCCCCCGAGCAGGGCCCAGCCCGCATGAGCCCAGCTCGCGCGCATTTCCCGCCCGCCGCCGGCCGCGACGTCCTCTCGAGCCCCAGCGGCGCGAGGCACCACGTCATACCGAGGTCGTCGACTGCTGCCGCGGCATCGACTCTGCGGACACGTCCGAAGCCCATGCCCCTGGCCACCGCGCCCGCGCCCTCGGCCCGTGGCGGGCCGCGCCTCTCCCCCCCCCCGCGCCAGGCACACTCGGGGGGGGGAGCTGCCCGCTCGTCGCTCAGCTCGGACTGCGTGACCAAGCCACCGAGCGCCAGCGACTCCACGAGCGCGATCTGCCCCGCGCCGCCTCGCGCCCGCAGACGCCGCGGCGCCCCTCCGACGGGCGCCGCCGGGGCGGGCGCCCCCGACGGCAAGCCGCCGAAGCGGTCGGGCGCGCGGCGCGCCAGGCGCACTCGGAGGCCCAGCACCTCGCCACAATCGGCGCGCCAGCCGCGCCGCGCCACGACCAGCCGCCCGACGCGCTCGAAGCGCCGCGCCGCCCCAAAAGCCATCGCCACGCTGGAGGGGCCCCGCGCCATCGGGGAGACCGCGTTGGTCCACTCCTGCAGATGCAGCAGGCGGGCAGGACTTGCCAGGCCCCGCCGCCGAGAATGCGCCTGCCCCAAAGCCCGCGCCCCCCCCTTCGAACGCGTCGAAGCCCCCCCCCGGCGGCCGAACCAAGCTGCACAGCGGCCCCATTGGCCCACGGCACCCTGGGGCCTTCGACGGGAAAAAAGACGCAGACCATGCGAATCTGGCTCGGCATCAAGCAAGCGGCCCCCGCCACCCTGAGCAGCGGCCCCAGGGCGACCGAGCCGTCGGAGCTGAGGCGCCCAAACGACTGCGGCTCGACTGCGCGGACGCCAACCGCCACGCCTGCCTCGAACGCGGAGGCGACCTTGATGATGGCGCGCGGCGACGGGGCCTCGGCCGCGCCCTCCAGAGGCGTGAGTCGTCAGCGGCAGGGCCCCCTCCAACGCCATGGGCGGAATGTCCCCGAACTGCCAGACGCCCTAGCACTCCAGCGCGCCCGCAGTGCCAGCGGGCCCCGACGACCCCTCGCGGCCTGGGGCCCAGCCCAGAAGGGGCCCCGCAGTAGCGATGGGCAGCCCCTTCGCAGTCGTACGCCGCCGCCCGCGCCCACTTGCGCCGGCGCCGACCACGGGCCTCGCCGCGCTCGGCGGCCAGCTCGACCGCGAGCTCGCGCCTCTCGCTCTCGAAGCCCCCCGGGCCCACGCAGCTGAAGCTGCCCATTTTGCGGCGCCGCCTTCGCCGCGTCGCCGCCGGCTGATCCGCAACCCCTTCTCCCAATAGTTGCCCCGGCGCCACCCCCCCGCCGTGGCGCGAAGATGGCCCGGTCGACGCAGCGCCTGAGCCCGCCTGCTCGGCCCTCGTAGCCGACGCCTGGCCGCCGACATATCCCAGGTGACCGCGCCGATCCTCCTCTGGCGCGCACCCCTTGGCGCGGGGCCGCTGCTCCTCGCACTTGGGCCCAAACGCCCTCCCGCGGCATTTCGCCGCCTCCCGGGGGCCGACGCGGCAACTGCCAAGGAGGTCGAACTCCATCAGCCGCGCGAACTCCGCGCACGCGTCATTGACCTCCCGCTGCACGCTGCCAGCCACATCATCTGAGGCCCCCCTCTTTCGCGAACCTTCCTCCGATGCCGATCGCGCGCGCCGCGCGCCCCGAGGATGCCACCGCGCCGTCGACCTCCTGCGGCCAACCCCACGCCTCCAGCTCCTGGAGCCTGCAGGCCCAGTCGCCACCGATGGCGCGCGGCGCCTTGACGCAGGACAAGTACTCCCCCTGCTGGTCCGACAACAGTTTGGACTCTGCGCCCAGCCCCGTCTCCGCCGCCACGAGGTAGATGAAGATGGCCAAGAAACAGCCAGGGACGCCGCTAGTGACCCATCGGGCCACGACACGGCCCTGTGGCAGGGCGGGCCAAGGCGGCGCCATCCCCATGCCGACGTGGGAGCGCGCACCGATGCCTACCCTGCAAGACAGGCCGCCACTCTCCGTGAGCACCGACTCGTTGAAGGCCACCTTCCAGCCCTCCTTTCGGCAAGCCTGCTCAGCCTCCTCCTTGGCCCCTGGGGCCACGCAGACCCCCTCAAGGGAGACCACGTCGGAGGTGGCGTCTTGCTGCAACCAGCGCATCACGCTGTTGTGGGACGTAGTGCTAGCCGTGTCCAGCCTCCAGGTGGTGCCAAGCCTCCTAAATATCTGGAGTCGCTGCTTCGCCTCCGCCATCACCTTCACCTCGGGCACGCTTGGCCGCTGGGAGCTCGACCCCTGCCGCCTGACGCGCCTCCTCGAACTTGCAGCGGCGCTCTCTTTCGAGCTTCTCAAGCCTGTTGAAAAAAGGACGCGCGAGCCGCTGCCTCGGCACTGCCTACGCCACCTCCGACGCCTAAGCCAGCAACATTCGCAGGACCAGCAGCACCCCCCACGGGGCCGCCCTGGCCCCCATCGACGACAATGACGCTGGCCTGGATCTACGCCTGCACACGGCCCACATTGCGCTGACGGGCAGCATGGGTGACCGCGACGGCCCCGGCAGCGGCCCCTCGGCTGCGAGCCCACCGACGGCTGCAAGCCCGTCGAGAGCTTGGGCGAGCCCGGCCCCGAGCGCGGAACTGGCCCCAGGTGGGAGCCCGATCTTGTCCGCCTGCATCGCCCGAGCCAGCGCCTCCTTTGCCTGCTCATGGCGATTCCGCGCGGCCTCGACCTCCTCCTTGGCCTGCGTCACCGCCTGCTGCGCTTCCACGAGTTGCTTCTCCGCTTCGGCCTGCGCGGCCCGGCGGCCTGCCAGCTGCTTGCTGAAACGCTCAACCATCCAGATGCCGCTCTGCAAGGTCAGCAAGCACGTCTTGGGCTTGACCACCTTCGCGGGGGGCAGGGGGGCTTCCAGCTTTGCCCTATCTCCCGCCGACGGCCACGCCCTTGGCGCCCAGCAAAGCGAGCAGCTCGGCCGCGGCGGCCCCACCTTGACCAGCCGCAGGCTCGGCGTCCGCTGCCTCCGCACCGGCCTTGCCTCCGCCCCTAGCAGGCCCAGACTTGGTCTTGCCCCCCGAGGTTGGCGACGGCTGCCCTCGACTAACGGGCGCGGCCCCCGCCGCCTGCTCCAGCGCCCGGCGGCGCTCCGCCACGGGCGCGGAACGCCCGCGCCCGCGGCTGGCCAGCCTGCAGGCCCAATTCCTGCCGGCGCCGCACGCGCATCCCCAGGTGGGCTTGCGCGGCCCTGGGAGGACCGAGGCATCTCTGGAGGGCGGTTCGCGCAACCAGGGCGCGCGCGCAGGGCGTGCGCCGCTGCGGCCGCCGCCTCCTCCGCCGCCATCGCGGTCCCCGAGGGGGGCGCTGGGCGGCATGCGGTTGCGGCGCGAACCCGCCTCCTCCCTCCGCCCCTCCCTGCCTCCCTCCCTTCCCCCCTCGCTCCCTCCCTCCCTCTCTCCTCTTCCTCCCTCGTACCCCCATCCCTTCTTTCTCCTCCCTCCCCCTTCCTCTCTCCCTCCGTAGTCAGTTTGGCTGAAGATGCCAAGTTCACGGATGAACCAAATGGATACCGCTGATCCGAGGCAGGCAGAACAGTGCGGCTGTTCGGATGCTTGATGCACGCCCACACTGCGCGGGTTCGGGCGCCCACTTCGCTTCGGGAGGCGATGCCTGGCGCTGCAATTCCCCCTTGGCGCAATCGTTCGGGGTCAATGTGGGGACAGAAAGGTGATTTGGCATTCCAGCCGTGGTTGCCCAAACCAGATGCCGGCCACCGCAAAAAAAAAGAAATGAGCTATGAAGCGCGCGGTACTTGCGGACCCTGGGGGCACACGCGACTTGGACATTAATCATATGCAAAGTGCGGTGCCGAGGGTGCACCAAAGGTTGGCAATACCAATGGAGGACGCGGCCAGCCTGTGCACAATGCGGATGCATCAAAGGTTGGCAATTCCAATGGAGGAAGCGACCGCCGAGTTGTTGACGTCTAAACACGGGTTGCAGGCGAACCTGAGTGGATTCGCACCTCGGTCAGCGCGTCCTGCGCCCGCCCTTTCGGAGTTGGGTGCGGCAGAGAAGGCGGAGAAGACTCGTCTCGCCAGAGCCTGTGCGGATGGTGCCAAGAAGGCACTGTCATCAACGCAAGAAGTCGAAGTTCGAAAACTCAAGGCGCCAACGACTCGACGATTCAACAGGAACAGGAAGGAGCAGAACAAGCCCTCACGGGCGAAGCGGAACGCTGCGCGGATGGGCTGGGGGGCCCGATCTGCACCCTGCTTTCCCCTCCCGCGGTGGGGGGGGCATGAGAGAGCAGGAGCGCTGGCTTCAAAGGCTCGTGTGCTCCGTCGCTCTTCCCGCGCGCACCCCGCGGCCTCGCCGCGCGAGCGCGTCCTCCTCTCTCGCCTCCTGTCTCTGCGGCCGACCCCTGGCCATCGCTCGGACGTACATTCCCTGTGTTTTTTCGGTTTCGTGCGTGGCTTTCTCGCCAAATGATCAAGGATGCTCCTCGATGGTCCTCGCCGAAGGAAAAATACACACGTCCGAGCGATGCCAAGCTCCTGTCTCTGCGGCCGACCCTCGGTTCTTCCCCTCGTCTTGCCTGCAGGCCAACTCGCTTCGCCGCGGCCCGGGCTGCCCGGGCGCACACGCGCACGGGCTGCCTGGGCGCCCGCGCCGCGACGCGGGAGTGCCCCGTCGTTCCTTGTTGGCGCGTGGCTTCGGACCGCAGGGATGGTTGCGGCCATCCTTGGCACTTGTTGGAACTGGGTCAGGATCTTGATCGGAATGCTGCTGCTCCGTGCTTCAGCGTCTTGCTCAGGCCTTTCTCGTACCATATCAGTGAGCACCTTTTCTGCACATGTTGCTGATGCGTCTTCGTTCTGGTCTGTGGCGGTCGAAGCCATCGCTGAGTCCCGAACGGTTGCACGCGACCTCAAAACGTGTCGGGTCAAACGTGGTCGTTTTCCAGGTCCGAGGTGCACGACTATTGGGGGAGGGCCCCCTCTGGGAAACGTCTTCGACTTCCCGAACTTGCTTTCCGGGCCCAACTTGCTCTGCCACCACTGCTTTAGGCGTGCACCATTAGGCTCCTAGGTCTCTGGTGGACTTGCCGAGGGATGATGTTTTGGAGCACGCTCCTCTCCTCAAGAAGTGCGAGCAGCAACGGGTGTGGCCTTCTCAGATCCTTTTTCATGTGATCGCCTTGCTTTCCAAAAGTGTGGAATGTGATTGGCCCATCTGTACATGCCCTACGGACAATAGGGCTTAGTGCAAAACTAAAACCCACCATCTTGATGCATGGATATGTGAAGCATCCTTTTGTTGGGACGCGGCCATGAAAGGGATCGAGCGTTCTCCAGGCGGCCCTGCTGCGAGAGCTTGGACGTGGACTTGGCAGGTTCCAAGGCCTCCGCTCGGTCGGAGAGCACAATGGCCTGAAGAGATTTCTATCGGGTGGAACCACATATGCTGACCAGCCTGCCGGTCAAGATGCACTCACTGCTTCCTCCATAGAAGTCAAAAGATCCACCCCCATGATAACCACCCCGACACGCGAAACCGTTTAGCAAACGCACCAAAAGAAGGAATCGAACATGGTAGGGCTGCTTCGTAAACGCCCAGGGCCGTTTAGAGAACGCAAGTTGTCAGCTCAGGGTGGTTGTTCCTCCCTTGATGACTGCCCCCTCCACCTCCTTGACCTTGGCATCCTCACGCACGAGGCTCCTCGAGTGCTGGAGGTCGGAGAAGCTGTTGCTCATATAATTGAGCCTGGTAAAAATATTCGAGCGGGCTGTATGCAACCCGTGTCTTGGGTGAGTATGTATCTGACAGAATGGGTGCTGCACACGCTCACTTCATCCCCGTTCGCGTTAAAGGATACGCCGACGACATTACCCGATGGCAGCAGGGACAGGAGGAGATGTTGCTACAGCTATTTCCATCCTCGATGTACTCATCCCATCACTTGGAAGATATCGGATGCACGATGTCTACGTGCGGCCACGTGAAGCTCGGTCTATGTGTGCAGCCACGTGGAGCCTGGTGTGCAGCCACGTAGAACTTGGTCTGTGTGTGCACTCTCGGGATCGCGCCGTGGCTATCCGGATGGAGTTCGAGCCTCCTGCTCGAGCTCGGGGGGCCATCACGACGGCTGGTAAGAAGAGGGCTCACTGCCGAGCTCATGCAGCGCAGGAGCCAGGCCTCCAAGGAGGCCAAGTTGGAAGCTGCAAGAACCTGGGATGAGGAGGAGGAGGAGGAGGAGGAGGAGGAGGAGGAGGAGGAGGAGGAGGAGAGGAGGAGGAGGAGGAGGAGGAGGAGGAGGCGGGGGAGGGGGGGACGGAGGAGAGGAGGAGGAGGAGGAGGAGGACGAGGAGGAGGAGGACGAGGAGGAGGAGGACGACGAGGAGGCGGCGTTTTAGCTGTTGGTCCGTCTGGGCACCAGTTTTTTGGCCTCGCTCTTGGGCAAATTTGAATCGATGCGGCCGGCCAAGCGGCCACGTGCTCGGTGGTGGCGAAGCCCTGAGGCCTGCACGACTTACACTGTTTTCTTAATGAGCGTGGGGGGGTACTCCCCCGACGGGGGTCAACCTCGCCTCGTCGTCGCGCCGCGACGGGGGTCGGAGCGCCTTCGGCGCGCGGTGGCTGCCCGAGACGGGGGTTGATGTGGGGCTGTCGGCGGGGGTGACGCCACCCGACGCCTATTGAGAAACTCGGGGTCTCTTATCTGCCTTGTGAGCGCAGCCAAGAATGACCCCCAGCTCAGGCTTCGCTATGATCAGCTTTCTCTGTTGCACGATGTGTGGCTTGATCCTGGACATCAGCCTTGGATGTACGTTGCTCAATGATCCGCGAATTCCGTGCGTGCACGTTTCTCGAGCGCCAAGCATCAGTGGCAGAAGGCTGATGGGCCTATTGCGGCTGCGCGGGCAGTGTTGCTCGACCTGAAGGTGGTGCCCGCTTCACCAGCCTGCTGGCAGTTCCCTGGCGGCACCAACCTGACGTTGACTGGTTAGATGTTTCCTCCTGCTCTTGGAGCGGTGCTGCGAGTCACGATTCAGGATCTGGCTTGGAGCAAGGAGTTGAAGTTGAAAAGCAATGCTCTGTTGAGTCTGACGGGATGGTTCGGAATATGTTGACCGCAAGGCTTTGGGCTGAGGATTGGATTGGTCAAGCCTGATACGAATCGGCCGAGGCCCATGATCTGGATGCGGGTGTGCGCGCGAGACGGCTGCCCACGGATGTTGGTCTTGTAGGTGCAGTGCTGAGTTGCCCGATTCTGCGATCCCCCGTTCGGAAGATCCTGCTCCCCAGGCTCTGATGGGAGCCTGAACACTGTCAGTCTGGGATGCGTGGCATGCCCTCCCTTGACGCTTCTTGTGGGCACTATCCTGCGCATGCTGAGCTGGCGTGGGAGTGGGAAAAAAGGTTCGGTCAGCACGTGGTGGCTGAAAACTGGCGCCCGCAAGGGGGACCTCAGGAAATCCCCTGGGGCGCGCGGGACCACTGGAATCCTCCAAGAGCAGCCTGAGCCATGGGCAAGTTTGGGTGACAGTGCCAGAAGCAGTGGGAGGGTGTCCGGGTGATGACAGAAGGTCATGGAGGTAAATACCAAAAAGATTGGAGGCGTAGGAGATGCGGGTGGGCCATCGTCCACCAAGGCCCAGACGGACGAGTTGACGGCCTAGCGAGCGGAACGTTGCCAACTAAGGTCCAGACTGCTGGACGTGCTGAGCGTGTTGCCTTGATCCAGTTTGCTGCACGTGCCAGAGATGTTAGAGTGGATTACGACTGCGTGTCTGCCAAGAAGGTTCCAGGACATCCCTTCGCAGCAAGTCTAGCTCTGCTATGCCATGCTCGACCTTTGGGAGATGTACAATGATGTGCTTAGGGCCCGTAGTGGCTCGATTGACGTTCGATGGACAAATAAACGTAACCCCACCCAGGGACAGAGCTTTAGCATGTGTTGAATGGTGTCGATGCTTATGTAGGTAAGGCTGCCAATTTCTATGAGGGGAAAGCGGCGGATGCTGGTCAGGTGGCCGATGCCCAAGCCCAAGTCACGTTTGAGGCTGATGAGTGGACTGTCAAGGTTGTTGAGCGCAACCGTGCTGTTCAAAGGGAGTATAAATTTACTCCCCAGCGTGAAAAGCCTGGTCGTGTCCTCCGTACCCGCTCTAGAAGCGCTCGTTTCAGTCAGGATGGAAGGATATACCGTTTGCGAGGTGTGCACCTCGATGTCATAGTGCGAGTGTCTGCACTTGGGTGCAAGTGCTGTGCCAGGAGCTTCAGCATGAAAGGCGCTCTGCCTGAGTTTTGGCCACCCCCCTGCAAGCCCCGCAACATGCTTCAGCAACGAACTCAGGCTCTCCCCCCGCCGCGGGCATCGGACCCGATGGCCAGGGAGCCTGCTCCGCCTCTTGATGACATGGGGCCGTCGGACTTGGGAGGGGGGGCGCTGTGGAGCATCCCGTGGCTGAGCTGCGCCACCCCACTCACGAGTTGGCAGCCTACCGAGAAGTGCTGTTCTATGAGATCTGGTAGGTGCCATTGCACAGATGCTCCCCGTGAGCTCGAGGGGCCTCGCAAGAGTCCCCCTCGTGCTGGGCAGAATGTTTGCAGCCGCGTCAGGAGAAGCTTTCCGCCAAAGTCCGGGGGGGGTAAATTCCCTGAGGTCTGATCTGTTCTAGCTTGCCCTGCCTTGCAGCTGGTCGCCGCGCACGACGATATAATAGAATAGAAGTATCCTTCCTCCCTCCTCCGTCCTTCCTTCCCTTATTCACTCCCTCACTCCCTCCCTCCCTCCCTCCCTCCCTCCCCTCCTCCTCCTCCACCTCCTCCTCCTCCACATCCACCTCCTCCTCGGAAGGACAAGGAGGGACGGACGCGAGGCCGCCTGAGAGAGAGGCGCGGGTGAGCGACGTCTTCGGGCCGAGCGTGTCGGTGATAACGTCCTGCATCCGACCCGGGCAAGGCCGAAGACACGCAAGCCTGCCAGCCACCGCCTCCTCCTCCTCCTCCTCCTCCTCCTCCTCCTCCTCCTCCTCCTCCTCCTCCTCCTCTCCCTCCTCCATCCCTCTTCCGTATCAATAACTTCTCCTTGTCGCGCCCCGGGACCCTTCGGTAGCGCGGGCCCAGCGTTTCGCCTGAGACATCCTCACCATGTATGATCCTGAAGCTTTAAATTCGAAACAGGTTCACGGTTGGAGGGCAGGTCGTTCTCAAAATGTGGCTCTCGCCTGAGCGCCGCGCACACTCGTCTTACAAAGTCTGCAAGACCTTCAGTGATGGAGGGTGGATCGTGTCCAAAATGTGGGTCTCGCCTGAGAGCCGCGCACACTTTGCAGGAGCATCACGGATGGAGGGCGTGCCGCTTCGAAAATGTACCTCTCGCCTAAGCGCCGCGCACGCTCGCACCGCCAAGCGCATTCACTTTACCGCAGGAGCTTCACGGATGGAGGGCGGGCGGTTTGTTTTCAATGTGGCTCTCGCCCTAGCGCCGCGGCCGCGCACATTCGTTTGGACAGTTCAAACATCTTCAGGGTTCTTATGGCTGACGTCCCAGACATGGTGTTTTGGCACGACTAGGATTCAGGGCGCGACAGTCACGTTGATTCGCGGTGTGGACGTCCCAGGAGTGGCGTTCTGGCAGGATTCAGGATCGTGAGATCGCATGAGTAACGTTGATCCGCTGCGCTGAAGTCCCAGGAATGTTGTTTTGTTACGATTGAAGACTCTCAAACGGTGGGCTTCCAACGGTGCTTTTCCAGCAATGAAGATAAATCTTGACAGGAGCAAATGGAGAAGGAACCTGGAGGGAGGGTTAATGCAACATCATTGATGGGTCCTGGCTTCGTACTACCGTCACCATCATGATGACGAACAACAGCAACATCATCATCATCATCATCATCAGCAGCAATAGCAGCATCATCATCATCATCATCATCATCAGCAGCATCACCATCAGCATCATCATCATCAGTTTCATCACCATCATCATCATCAGCAGCATCATCATCAGTTTCATCACCATCATCAGTATCATCATTATCATCATCATCATCATCATCATCATCATCATCATCATCATCGTCAGCATCCTCAGCATCATCATCGTCGTCACCAGCATAACCAGAACCACCATCCTCATCCCCATCCTCATCGTCCTCGATGTCCTCATCATTCTCACCGTCATCAGCATCCCCAGCACCACCATCATCAACAACACCACCAGCATCACCATCGCCATCATCATCAGCATCATCAGCATCATAACCATCATCGCCATCACCATCACCATTATTATCAGCATCATCATCATCATCATCATCATCATCATCAACACCATCATCACCACCATCACCATCACCATCACCATGGTGATCATCACCACCACCGTCATCCCCAGCATCATTATCCTCCTCATCATTCTCCCCATAGTCTTCCTCTTCCTCCTCCTTCATCTTTTTCGACCCTTATATTCTTCCTTGTATTCCTCCTCATTCATCCCTTCAAGGATTCATTCATTCAGTCATCCATTCATTCATCTGATTTAAGCATTGTTCCTCGCCCTCATCTATCGCCGCGCGCACCCCGCCACAAGTCCCAGTGCGCGAGGATGGGCCCTGTGACCATCAGCTCCTCGGTGCACCTCGAGCAGCCGCCGGCGCAGTCGTCTTCGCGTCGACCCATCGTTCGATCGAGAGTCGAAGATCGAGGCTTCCGCGTGCTGCTTCGAGTTCTCGAAACCCCAGAAGCCTCTTCATGCTTCTGGTGCCCTCTGGAGACGGCCCGGGGCCTCCACAGGCCGCAGAGGGCGGAGGACGTCGTCGGTCGTCGGCGTCCGTCGCCGGTCGTCAGCCAGCGCTGTCGGCCGTCGAGTTGGTCGTCGGTGGTCGGCTGTCATCGCTCGTCAGGCGTGGTCATCGTCATCGCCGCTGGCGTCGACGCGGTCGCTGTTGTCGTTGCCGACCGTTCTCATCGTGGTCGTCCTCTCTCGGAATGGGTCCCCAAGGGGAGCCCAAAGCGGGCCCAACCTGGCCCCAGCAGGGTCCCAGCGAAGCTACGAGAAGGCCCGCGCAAGAGCTTCCAGGAGGCACCCGGAACGGCACCAAGGAGGCCCAGGGTGGCACCGACAGAACCGAACGAACATCGCAGGAGGTCCCGACGA